GAGGAAGCCACCCCGTTGCTGAGGCCTATCGAGAATTGTGTCCATTTTGTTTGGCTTGAAAACCCCTTCAAAGCGTTTCCGTGCACGCCTGGTTCCAGTTCTTCGAAGTCTGGGACAGGAAAGTCGATGATGAACCTTGAGCAGGTCAACCGATAGCGATGGGAGACGGGAAGTAGAAACGGTTCCCTCATTCGCTATTCGATTATTGTTTTTGCATGATTCTACTGTTAGTTCTTTTATTCCTGTACTTCTTATTTACTGCTGCAGTCTGCTACATTCCTTCGCGCGCGACGTCTCTCTCGCCGCGACGCGACAGTTTCGTTCCTACTGCACCACACCCGATAGCGATATCATGCGCACACTGGATTTGTGTGCGCGCACAAGTGAGTGGTGCCATATCATAGTACTTTTGTGGAAACTCCCAAAACAATCTAGGAAAGGCCAGCTGTTTGGATAGATCCAAATTATGAAGTGTTCGTACATCAGCGGTGGTTTGCATCTAATCGAAGTCCACCTAGCATCGCTTCCACTTGGGATTCACTCACGACTTTCGTAGATTTTCAGCGGAATTTTAGTGGTTTTGGCAGCCTTCACTCGAATCCAGTTGTATCATCAGTCGAGCTCATCCAGGTGAACCTGTGGAATAGAACTGATTGTAGAGTAATAGGACTAGTCATTTCATTCCTTCGAAAACTTAGAATGACAACGACAAAGTAGAAATGTACAGCCTGCGAACACTGAAGGAAGGAAGGTTTGGGAGTAAGAAAGCCCACTACGCTAGCTGGAGCGGCGGGAGACGAACATCCATTACGCCACCTGAGGTAATACAGCCAAAACGACCTATCTAGGCGTTTGGTGAGAACAGCAGTTATATCCGTAACGGTATTGGAGGAAGCGATTCGCGACTTGTACTGGGGGATTGTCGACACCTCTTTCTCCCAGAAGCTAACCATCTTGTCAATGAAAATCACGTGGTACTCAGTTTTGACTGGACCGTAACCGTAAATCGTCCGCGGTCGTTTGAGCATCAGCATCACTTTTGAAACTTTGATGCGCCCCTCACGGCTCTTCCTCCTGGGTATGGGTACATACGTGCGTCCGAGTAAGCGCGCGGCAAATTGCACGGCGAAGTGCGTGGTGATTTAAACGACTGTGGCGCTTATCGTTGGGACTCAAATTTGAAACACAGTGGATTAGTAGGGTCAGCTGATACTACCAATCTACTCCACTTCAAATTTGGACCACAATGATAGGCGCCAGAGTCGTTCGAATCACCTCGCACTTCGCCGCGCAATTTGCCGCGCGCATCCTCGGACGCATGAAGTTCCGTCCCCCTTCCTCCTCCGCCGTTTGCATGTGGCTACCTGGAGACGAATATACACAGCACCTCTTTTGTATTAGGACGGCGGCCTGCCTTTGCAGTCAACCTTCAGCCTGCAGGTAACGGTTCTAGGGGAACAAGGAGGTTCTGGGTTTTCTGTGCTCATCTGTATGAATTAGGCATTTGAGCTGACTGTTTCATCAAGAACGCTGCAAGCATGGCTCCAACCCTTCCGACTTCAAAATCTTACTCGAAACAGGCTTGTAATGGGATCATTGTAATGGCGAGAAAAAATCGTGGCCACGCCTAAACGTTGGATCTTTTTTCGGTACACAAGAAAATGAGTATTCTCAATGATACAGTAGCCAAATTCAACAATTAGTTTCCCAATTCTGTCCGCTATTTCACTCGATCACAACATTATCTTACGTGGACGCGATGTACTAGTGTCTAAATTAAATGCCGCTTCTTCCGTGGGTGTAAAAACGCATCTGCTTCAAAGGCAAAGCAAATATACATTAATTAGTCTTTTTGCCCTTATTTAGACAGCCAACACTCATACAACAATATACGGAATTTATGCACACACCTGATCTTTCTATGATATTGATGTTGAAGGGTGGGGGAGGTGTAGTAGCAATGATGCACTACCTCGGACACATGATCCCGGGTTCGAATCCCGGATCGATAACTGCCAAGGCAACTTCATACCTGCATTGTCTGGGAGCATAAAAGCATTGACTTGTACATCGGCTGGACACCTCAAGTCATTGTACAGGCCACATGCGTCTGAAGACTTTACAGTTTATCCTCAACATCATAGATTCCTTTATCACGCAGTTTTAAATGTTGCAAAAAGCAAAAAGTAGGTACTCAAAATGCCACTACGATCCTTAATGGAAGTCGAATGCGGGGGTGCATCTCTCAGATGGGATTGATTGACGCCAAAATACTTTTGAACTTTTATTGATGTGTGCATAGATGCCCTCAGTTTCCTTGAGTGTATTTTTGCTATATGATATTTGCTTTACCGAATACTCACACCTATTTACAGAATTACAGAGAATCAGAGGACTATTTTCAAGGGTAATGATTCCTGTTGAGGAGAGTGGATCCTGAATAATTTGGAAAGCGTAGGGGTGGAAATGTAGCTGAGGTGATTCCACCAGTCTTCTTCAACACTAGACGCTAGAACGCAGAGGAGAGGCTCGGCTCCGTGAGGCTGTGATGGTCTTGGAAATTTTTTTTTTAGCCAAGGTAGGGCAGGAGTACCGGATGGGTGAGAACAAGCTGGGATAGGGGAAGGATAGAACATTCAGTTGACCGTTGATTCTTTCCTTTTCAAAACTGCAAGCAGTAAGTGTGATAGCATACTATTCACACCTAGAGAGCGTAAGTACAGCTCGCGAAGCCAGGTATCACTTCTTTGCGCTCTGTCGCCTAGAGCTGAAAAAGAGGAGCGGCGTTCCTAATAAGTTAATGTAACGAATTAGAGACGAACTCGAGTTGCAGAGGGGACAGATGGTTTGGTGATTCTTGGAGTTTCTATGTGCCTATTACCATGAATTGGGGTACAACTGACATGCGACGGAGAATAATTTCTAGCAGGTTTTGCGTATACACTTTGCCACATTCAAAGAAAAAAACTTATTTGTGCCCAATATCCCGGTTGTGTTATCGCACAGCGCTCCACACCATTGAAACCATACTTCGAAGTTGTGAATAGTTGCCAAGAAACTTGTTTACTTACAGTCCTCACTCCTCTGCAACGTCGTCGCTATGGAATACAGAAGAACCCCGTACGAGGTGTTTCGAGAAAAGACCATGTCGTGAATCGTTGGCAAGGGAACATTATTCCATACACTTTGTCATCGGATTATTCGGATGAGCAGTAAGTGTTTGTCTCGATGTTGGAAAAGACACCTTGGAGACGAGAAAGCGTTATGTTTACGTGGGAGCCCCCTGGATCCAAATGAAGATTTACATTAACAATTCTTCCCGAAATCTTCAATGTTTGAATAAGTATACTTACAATAAGGGTTTGACCTCAGAGCCTGAGTCCGTTTTCGTGGTACTTGACAGAGACTACTCAATGTCGTGCGTACCATGCCTACCAACGTCAACTTGTTCAGATAGGGTGTCATTTGAGCACGGGAAATAATTACTGAAACACCATTTTGGACAGGGTGCACGCGAAAAATAGTGCAAGTACGTTTAGAATCGCTTAGTTGGTCCCAGACTCGTCCGGGAACATGAAAAGACGGCATGGGTGTATCCCAAACGGGATTGATTAATACCAGAAAATTGTCCTTTTATCGCAGTGACCAGTGCCTCGAAGAACCGAAGCAGGCATGACAATTGCCTTTCGAAACACTACCAAACTTCTGAGCTCTTTTATTCACCCGATACGCTAAAAATTGGTTTTAAAATTGGTTTTTGGTTTCATGAATACAAGGTTTTATGTTTCTAGTGATAATAATCTCGGTTTTCGTCTGATGAACTGTAGAGAGAACGTTCAGGCTCACGAAACTGTTATCTGATTATACTTCTGAAAGTGCTGTTACAGGAAGAAGATCATTCGACTTTCTTTGGACAGCTTGGAACAGATTTCCTGTTTCCGATTCGTTCCACGTTCTGATGAAAAGGATTTTCTGGCTTTTATGCCATTAGATGGATGCTATTCCTATGTGGGGAAAGTCGGTAAGAAGTCGTTCTTTCAAGCCAGTCAGTGGCTAGAACTGTGTTCTTGCCAAACTTACTGATAGCTTTCCAACGCAGCTCGAACTAGAGGAGATAGTAGCCATACTTGCGAACGTGTCTCACCTCTTGCGTCTGCCCACGTTAAAGGCACAGTTCACGATCAAAATTGTTCCTGGGATTTCCCTAGAATGAATCTGCGGCTCCCAAAAATAGAACATGGACCGTTGCCGGGAAAAGAACGGCCTAGACAGGGTGTATGAGGGGCTCCAAATGCGGTTTCCCCGATGCACGCACTCAATGGCCGTGTATGCCGACCTTCCTCTCACGGCACAATTCACGGACGAGACAAAGAGTACGCTCTCGTGAAAGACACTCAGATGGCCATCTCGTACACCCCCTTTTTTGCCACTTTTTTGAAGTCATACTTTTTAAAAATCCTATTTTTCGCGGTCGCTTCGCCACCCTTTTATAATTCTGCACCATGACTTTCTTTATTTTACGTAAAATAGATACCTCGAATTATCGTAAACTGCGGTTTCACGTAGCGCGCCATGGACTTGCTTCTCCTTGACCCAAAAAAACTGCGTACCATGAACCGATCTCATATGGATATGGGATCAAAAGTAATGCAGTGCCGAACACGGATGGTTCTTATCGGCTGTCTAAATACCTACTTGTCCCCAGACTCTCTCGAATAGCTTTTGCTCCATTTTTTGACTGATCGAGTTAGTAAAGGGAGCCGAAGGGTTATTTGTAGTCTCTACTATTGGCTGTTCTCTCCTTGTGTTAGATGCAGGACATTATATACCCTGTGATGAAGGGAAAATGGAGCTGAAGCTGATGTTGTTTACTCACAGCGCTCATAAGACTTTTTTTGCCGTTCTGGAACACACTGGTGTAGCTCTCTGTTCTCGATGTGCTAGCCTACTATGTATGTTTGTTCAGGAGGAACGCAGGTGATTTCACTCGCAGTTGACTGTATTGCTGACTACATTATATGGCATGAAGTGATGCATGCGATCGGTTTCGAACATGAACATCAGCGTCCCGACCGAGACCAATTCATTAAAGTCGAGTACAGTAATGTTCAACAAGGACAGCTGGGTTAGTTGGTCACATTTTTGTTGACTTCAATAGTGACCATAAGACTGATGTTCAGTGAACTTCGAAAAGCTTGCGCCCCATGAGGTCGACTATCCCGACGACTACGACTACCAGTCGATCATGCACTATGATTCTCATGCGTTTGGCCGAAGGGATCCTGTCACCAACGCCAGACTGGCTACCATGATCCCACTCAAAGTTGGTGTGTTGTCTGAACATTTGAAAACAATCGCTAACATCCAGTCGTATTCAGAAAGGCGTCACGCTCGACGATAATTTGAAGATGTCACAAAGTGATATAGTGAAGCTGAATCGATTAGGAAAATGCATCGTCTCAAAAGGTTTTCTATAGAACTTCTGCTTTTTGGCTATCTTACTTAACGGCTTGGAAGCGTAACTTCCGAAGCGGGCAGAAACAAGCTTGCTTTGAGTGTTTTCAGAAGAAGGGCGTTTTTGGAACCTTTTCTATCATAAATTACATATTTACTCGACATGAAGTCAAACTTGCACAGAAGTTGGAATGCGTTTTTTACTCCTATAGTGGCCCGTGGAACCTACCTTGTGGAGACTTCTAAAAGAGAATTCCCATGAACTCCCACTTCAGGACTCTTAACGTGAAATGTAATTCATCACAGTCGCTGTTTTGAAGAATTCCAAAATAAAACTCATTACGCCTGATGTTCTCCAGTAGTGTTCTCCCAATGCTGGAGAGATCGTCCATCATAGTCGCAGCACACAGGCCCAGTCTCGAATCTTGTCTTGACCCTAACTAGGATTTTCACATGCTTCTACTTCTGAACACTTCTGAGGCTTTCGGGCAGTTATCAGGAAACAACTTATGTACGGGCTTGTTGAGCTACTTAACAGGAAGAGCTGGTCGTCGCTGGACTTATTGCGTAGCGTCTACACAGCTCTCTTCGCTCCAGCTATGCCTGCCTTGTTTCCGTCCAAGTTTTTCTTCAAATTTCAAACAAATTTAGCTCCTCCACGTCAAGCACTAGAATTGCAGAATTTATATATTTATTTTTCGCTCAGTGAAGTGAACATGCTCCTTATATTCTTATGCGCAGTGGAGTGGTGAAATTCACGATAAGTTGGGAGGGGTGGGGTGGGGGGGCGGCGTAGAGCGATTTATTCATGTTACATTATTAATAAATCTATCCTACACCCTAATGC